CCCCCCCTCCCTCACATGCACCCTTTGACGCCCGGAATAAAACCACCTCATACTGCTGTGTTGTGTTTCGCGCGTCGCGTAGTCGGGTCGCGATTCGACACGCGTGGCGCAGAGCAGGATAGGATGGGAGCGGCCTGGCTCGAGGCGATCAGGACACGCTGCTCCACACGGCGGCGCGCGGCCCAAGAGCAGTCTGATGAAAAGTTGAGATGGCACAGAGCGGCCGCACATTGTAAGAAAGAAGGCTTGTAAGGGTTAGTGAGAATGTCAAAAAAACGTGTGTTGTGAAATTACAATTGAAAATTGTCAAATTACAAATACTACGTAACGACTTTCCCAAACTATTTCCCAAACTAAAATAGGCTGTCGTAAATTTGCCAAATATTTTGTAAATCGTAAGTCCGACACATGTTTCAAACGCGGTTTCAAATTAACATTTTTCACAGTGTCGTTTACTAAATAGAGTATTTTGGGTTGTTGACTAAAAGAAGAAAAGAATGCCAAGCCAGAGGATCACTGCCTTCTAACGGTCAGCCCCTCGCGACCGACTGTTTCCAGTGTTTCTGATCAGGTTCTATTCTTTTCTCCTCAAGCTTCATAAAACGGCCTACTTTTGGCAGTTTTGGCACAGTCGTTTCAAATCCCGACGGCGACCGTATTGAACGTGTCCAACGGCGGGGGAAGACCAGAAAAGCCAGGACCGCGGTGAGGATTGGGAGACACGCACCCTCTGCGCTTCTCTGAGCGGGCGAGGAACGCGGAGTGTATAGCGGGGCGTGGAGTATGGCCGAGCCCAAAGCAGTCTGTCCGCGAGGGGGCGCGGGGCGCGGGGAGGGAGGCAGCAGCACCCGACAGTCCCGAACCGAGGTGGCCGGTGACCTACCCGCACCCGCCGCCTCCAGGCTGGCGGCGCTGGAAATGCTGGAAGTTCGACGGCGTTCCGCAGGAGACAACGTGCATCTTGTATCACACTCATGCCGCACCGACACAAGATATGCGCTCTCTCCAAGCATCGTTATTGTGTTTCCTCGTGATAGGGAGCGCGTATCCAACCACGAGTTCATTTTAGGCGAGATTGATGTCTCACTATTTGCCAACTTTGTAATTTAAAATAAACTGCAAATTTCCTGCCTATTAGGCGCACCAATAATGGCGGTTGTTTCGTTGTCGTTTTGCGTAATTTTGTTGAGTTTTAGAGTGGGTGGACTTGAGTGACCTGCGTCTGGTGACAGGACTGACACTCCTGCACTTTTAGGTTCTCGTCCCGTCTGGTCAGTTGCATTTTGAATTCGACCGCCATATTCGACCAGTCAGTCAGCCGTCTGTCGTTGTGCGGTGGGACGGGACAGGGCGGGGAAGAGCGGGGTGGGGCCCCTGCCGCATCGCGTATCGACCGCGCCCTGCCCTACCCTGCGGCGGGGCGAGGCGCCCGGGAGGGGGGGGGGGGCTCGACAGGGCGGCTCAGTAGTGCCGCAGTCGCCGGTGATCGCGCACTGGCCCTGCCCCGCCGACCCCCGGGCCACTGCGCGCGGCTCCGCGCGGACAGCGAGCACGTCGCGACGGACGACGTCGCCGGCAGCGGTGGCCTCGGCCTCCACGGCCCTCCTCCAGGGGAAGGCTGCTCGGCGCGGCCTTAGGCAACGCGTGCTGTCCGGGTGAGCGCAGACACAGGTGGGTGAGCGCGGTCACGTGGGGGGGCGCGCGTCCCGCCGCGTGGCTAGCGCCTGTCGCCGTGTGGGGGTGAGTGTCCTATTAGTGCCGTGCCCTACCGTGCCCTCACTCAGAACACTTCACACAGCACAACAGCGCCAAAAAACAACATTAGCAGTAGTGCAACAACAACAACAACAACAACAACAACAACAACAACAACAACAACAACAACAACACATCCGTGCCCAGTCACCACCTGCGCGGCAGGAAGTTGCCGAGCAGAGCAGCCCCATCTGTTTGTTGATGTGTGTGTTCGGCCGTGGGGCGCCTCCGTGGCGCGGTGGAGGAGCAGGCGCTTCTTTTGCCGTCCCGCTCTCCGATCGATCCCTTCAATTATGAACACGATGACACGCGGGCGGGTGTGCACCTGGCAGAACCTGGCGGCAGCTGTGCGCAAAACACAACAGCCACCTGCCGGGGAGACAGTACGGGACACTCTGAACACTGGGAGTACCGAGTTCTGTTCAGAGGTCGCGCCAGACCGGAATCTTTTATAGGCGGTCCCTCTCAGAAGAGACCCGGCCCGAAAGCGAAATAATGAGGTGATCACAAACCACGCTCCGTAAACGCAAACGGAATCCCCTTGTCTGCGAGCTCGTTAAGGGGGGGGGGGGGGGGCAACGCGTGTATTTATGTATACACTTCGCCTGTATATTTTGTATTTTCTTTGTATTTTGATTGTATTATTTTGCGCGTATTACAATATTTTTCTGAATTTTTCTATTCATTTTAGAGTATTTTTTGTGTTTGCATCTGTATCAATTGTATTTCTGTGCACGCGATTTTTCGAGTGCCCCCCCCCCCTCCCCCGAACTGTTGTTGGTTGTGTGAATGTCGTTGGGCCAGCATATTATGTCGTTCCCTCGTTCGACTAGCAAACTATGTCCCTGAAGCCTTCCAACGACATAATGTTGTTGGCGCATCAGTGACACCTGTCGTTGGGACACTGACACATTTTTTGAGCGTATCTTGACCTTGTAGACTTTTCCTCCATCCAAGGAAAAAAATCTGTCCAATATTGATTAATGTTGATTAACAGTGTGAATTAACACTAAAATGTTGCGGAATTATGTACCCGCTACGGCCACAGGGACTAGAGCGCTTTACGTGCAAAAGTAGTAGGCAAACCCGCAACACTTCGGTATGCGCTCTGAACACCCGGCACAAGCACAGCAACTTCAGTTGTTCCAATGCCCCAAAGCACGTTCAACGAAACCGATGATCCATTTGGTTCCACCACGACGCAGTCTAACAAACAGCGAAATTTGTTCACCACGGCAAGAGGAGCGCTCGGCAGCATCGCAAGCGGAAGCCCACGGCCAGGGTGGCGGCGGTGCCCGGGCAATATACAAGCACCGTAGAAGATCGCCGATGACGCGGCGAGGCGACACCGTTCGAATTTTCGCGCCCCTCGGCGCGGAGCGGGAGGTGGTGGGGGAGCCAGGAAGTGGAGCAGGCCGGGGGGCGGTCGAGGGGCGGCCGAGGGGCGGCCG